CACTGGCCACCACCGCGGCCTGACCCTGGACCTGGAGGAGTTGGAGGAGCTGAACCGGTCGCTGAGCCGGGCCATGGAGGCTGCCCAGAGCGTGAGGTTCACCACCACCCGCGTGAGCCGGGCGCTGGCTGCCGAGCTGAGCCGAGCGCGGGACCTGCGGGGCTCCTGCCTCTTCTGAGGGTCCTGCCAGCACCTGCCAAACCCTCCCGGCCCTCGCAGGGGGCAGGAGGAGGAGGATGGTCCCCCCACCAGCATCCCTGCACTGGATGTTCCCTGCCAGATCTGGGAGCACCAGGGCTGGGGGCATTTCCACAGGGTCCTGCACCAGCTCCCATCCCCATCCCGCTTGCCCTGGACAGCCTGTACATCTGTCTGTCCAGTTTTAGCAGACCCCCAAGCTACGGGAGAGGGCCCAAGACATAGGCAGAGGTCTCCCCAGGGTGCAAGCACAGCCTTGGCAGGAGGGCACCATCCCCTGGCACAGTGGGGTGGTCCTGTGGCCCCCAAGGCTGATGCCACACCAAGATGAGCACTTCTGGGGATGCTCTGGCTTTGTGTAGGTCCTGCTGCAACACTGGTCGGGCCCCCACTGGCAGCTGTGTTTACCGCCACACCTGCATGGGCAGAAATACCCGCGATTCCCTATTTGAGCCCTTTCCCAACCTTTAGGCACCCTCTGGGGGCTCAGTGCTGGGGCTTGACCTGTGTACCCCCCTCTGCCCTCTGCTCTGCCCTCAGACTTGATCTGAGCCCAGTCGTCCCTGTGAAAGCTCTTGGGGGTTTTATGTGATTTTTTTTTCTCAAAAATAGCTAGTAAGTAGCTAAATCACTCTTTTAGGGTTGATCGATGATATAAAATCTGTGTATGTATATGTATGTATCTACAGATAGATACATATATATGTTCTGTTTTTAATTTCCAGCATAATCCTTAGGGCATTTGTGGTTTTTTTGCCACCCCTGCATGTGGCTGCCTATGGTATCATCCAGGCAGAAAAAAAGGATTTGGGGGTTTCCTTGGGATTCCCAGGGGATCTGAGCTCTTAGAGGGAAAATCACCTCATGAGACCAAGGCAGGGGCAGGATATGGCCCTGAGTGGGTCTGCAGAGCCCCTGGTACCCCCAGCCTGGTTTTGTAATGAATTAATGCTTATTTTTTAGTGAAAGGGATGTGGTCAGGGCAGCCCTTGGAGAGGGCGCAGCACCTCGGAGGCAGGTGCTCTGCACCCCACAAACCCCGGGGGGACCCTCCAGCTGCCCCCACCAGCACCCACGTGGAACCTGCACCCCATGCCCCCCGGGATGGATCAGGCCAAATCCCCTGCTCCATCCACGAGCATCTCAGCCTGCAGTGCCCCTGGCTGTGTTTGTGTAGGACCTACCTAAAGTGCCCATGTCAAATCCATGTCAAATTTATTTATTTTTTACTTTTGTTGTACGAAGACCCACATTTTGAAAGGGCGGGGGAAATCACTAATGCCCCTGGCGAGTTACTCAGGTCTAGAGCTTCCCCAAGTGCTTGCAAAGCCACTGAGCCCGGATCCTGAAAGGAGCCCGGGAGGGACTGGGGGGTGGGGGGGGGGACTGGCAACAGGCCTACCCCTGCCACTGCCCTTTGTGGGGAAGAGGAGTGGATTTTAAAGAGGATTTCTGTGTCTGGCTGCATCTGCTCATACCATCTCCCAAGCGAGCTGACAGGCCAGGTTGCAGCCGCACTGGAAGCTGTGACCCCCCTCCAGCCCAGCTGGGGTGTGTGCAGGCAGCGTGCAGCCCTATTTATCCCAAATGCAATAGCCAGGAGCAAAGATGACTTTTTTTCCATATCCCCTATTTTGTAATGACCAGCAGAGCCATTTGGATGGTATTTTGTACTAAGATAATTGCTTATTTTTGAACAAAATAAATGCAGTTGGTTGGCTTGTGGGTTTTTCTTCCTTTTCGTAGCCATTTCTTGGGCGAGTTTTAGCATCGCCACACCAGGATCTCTCCCTCGGAGGCATCTGAGGTTTGGTGAGAGTATCTCCCCAAGACCTTCCCTTGCCTGCCTGGCCCCCGAGCGAGCGGCACGGCACAGCCCCGGTTGCACTAGGGATGGAGATCGCTTTTATTTAGTCACTCGAGTGCTTTAGTACAGAAGAACAGATATACAGAGATGATACATGTTTGTGCTTCAACACTTTCAAACATTTAGATTCCAGTAATTTCAAGGTAAACAAGTTCCAAGACAGACTAGATTATTTTTTTTTTTTAAGTTTTCCTTTTTGATAAATTATTTTTTATATAAATAACTGTAACAGAAAAAAAAAAAATAATGTCCAACATACAAGATCCTGAAGCATTTGCATTGCTAAACCGAGAAGGAACTCAAATGGGGGGGGTGGACCAAGGAGGAACCAACAAATATCAGTGCAATGATACAGCCTTTGCCCTAAAAATATATATTTAACTTTATGGGCAAGGAACAGATGGGGAGGGAAGGGGAGGGAGGCTAACCACCAACGAGGCAAGAAAGATTTTGGGGAAGGAAAAGGGGGTCACAGCCTTCAGGGGGCGAGAACAAAACAATGGACCCCAAAATATTGCAGTGCATCTAATGGCAGGGGAGGGTGGAGGCAATCCTTGGGTGTCAAATAAAAAAAAAAAAAAAAAA